CCGTTTAATTTTAATTTCTGGTGGATGTTCATGGGTGCAATCTATACCCAGCAATGATCTGCATGCTTCACTTGTAGCTGCTGAACGAAGAGCATATGATCATGCTCGAACATTTGATACTTACGTATGTTTGATTTTTACGTTTACTAATAATGAAGCCAGACGTCGACTTCAACATCAACAACAGCGAAATCAATTGGAAGAACGTGAAGTACGAAATGAATTATCATCAGATGTTTCAGAAAATGCATAGCTGCAAAAGGCATTTTCTTTTTACGTCTGCCAGCAGTGAAATGTGACGTCAGTTTTGAAATTAACAATAACAAGTAATGGAATAGTGTGAAGGACAAAATTAATTATGAGATGCTTCGGAAAATGAAAAAAAAAATTTTCAAAAAACTTCAACTATATTGTTATTTAAACCGTGCATTTGAAATAATTTTTAATATTCAAAAGAAATAAATTTTTATAGAATATTCGAGGCGGAATTTAAATTAAAAGATGCAAAACAAAAATTTGATTTCTTTTCTTACCACATTATATTTGAAATTAAATTAATATTTTGCGCAATTTAATGTTAAAATATTTTGGTTTATTTGTTTTTCATTAATTTTGTTCATCCGATATTTTATGTATTACGCATTTACAAATTATTCTCATAGATTTCGTTTAGTGCATGCTCAATGATAGATGGAAATATTTCTTTGTATTACTTTGTATATAAATTGTAATAATCAGTTACTCATTTCAAATTAGGTTTTTTTTTTCTTGAAATTCTGTGATGTTATTTTTATTGCTCCTTTTTCTTTCATTATTTTCTCCCTTTTTTTCGTTTAATTAACTAGTCTAATTAATTATTAGTATTGCCAGTGATATTATTAAGTTACATTTATTCCTTTTTTAGTAATACGTTTTTTTTCTTGCCCCAATTTATTAGATATTATTGCGGTAGTTATCTAACGATTCTTCTTTTTTGTCTCTCTCTCAGGTATTATATTAGATATTATTATTGTTTCAGTCATCAAATATTATTATTATAGCTACTAAGAATTATTCTTCTCAACTCCATCTCAGGTATCATATCAGGTAATATCAAGTGGGAATTCTTGACTCCGTCTCAGGTATGATATTAGATGACATCAAATGAGAATTCTTATCTCAGGTATTGTATCAGGTAACATCAAGTGAGAATTCTTGACTCCATCTCAGGTATGATATCAGATGACATCAAGTGAGAATTTTTAATTTCATCTCAGGTATTTTATCAAGTAAAAATTCTTCGTAGCTCTCTCTCTCTCAGGTATTATATTGGATGAAATCAAATGGAAATTCTTTTTAACTCTGCCTCGAATATTATATCACCTCAGGTATTACATCTGATTTTTTTCACTTTTGATATCAAATGATATCATTTAAATTTGAATTGTATTTCGTTACATTCCAAATTATCTCAATTCTGTATAAATTCATCAATTATCACATTTCTTCAAACGATAATACAAAAGAAAATGTACAGGTAGAAATAAAAATACCGTTATCATAAAGCGTATCACATTCAAAAAAAAAAATGAATATATGTCTAAAAAACTACAAAATATGCTTCAATTTTTGCTTTTCTTTCATTAAAAAACTAAACGAATAAAGTTAAATTTATGATGGAACCTGATGAATATATCTTGTTCACTGTAGAAGTTAGTAATTATGTTTGAAATAAAAAGTAAGAAAAAAACGCGATACTCTTTTTTATGTTCTTCTCGAAATTTTCATTTTATTTCATTAATATCAGTCAATCTTGGAATAATTTCGTTGAGTTTTGAGAAAATTATCATAATCTTTACCGTTGCTGATGATAATGGAGAAATAATCATTGAAATTTCTCTAACAAATTAGTACATGTGACAATTAAAAAGAACTGCATTACATTCAATTATTTGAATTAATTAGCTTTGAAATTAATCCTTAAAATTTACAGCAGGAAGAAAAGGAAAAAAATCCTCATCTAAAGTAAGCTAATAAATAAGCAATGAACTAAACAAATTATAAACTGATAATTTATAGTACATTAACAAGATGCTACGGATTCTATCATATTTATTAAATTCTGTATACTAATCCGAGCGATGAAATTCTGAAACCCTAATGAAAAAAAAAAAAAAACTTTCAGATTCTAAAATTCCAGTCTGAACCAATCTAATTGGCTCCAAAGCTTAATTTACTATCTTATACAATTTATGGACTTAAGTTTTATTTTGACAGTTAAGTAGTATTGAACATTTGATGATGATTTGCAAAGTAAAAGGTAACCTATAATATTAAGTAATGATAATCTTTTCATTTTTTCATTTCATGCTTCTGCTAGCAAAAGATGTCCCGATAACTCCCAAGAAAAAGTCTCCCCGTCCTGGATTTTATCGATCCTGGACAAATAATACAATTAATGTTTTCAGCAACTTTTGTATTATGAAAGTGGAATATTTAGTAGATTCCGACATTCATACCATATATTGTGTATGGTCATCTACCGTAATTCCGAACATTGATTTAAATTTTGAAAATTGAATTAACCAATAAAATATTACCGCTATAATTATATTGATTGGATTTCATTTCATTTCTCAATCCAATGAAAACTTTCTTATCTTTCAAAATAATCCAAAAAATGTGACTTCATTACTTTCAGCTTTTTTTTCATTGTATTTGCGCACAGTTATCTGAAAATTACTTTATTGTTATAATACTTATACAAATAAGCTAAAAGGATACTTAACACTAACAAACAAGCTTTCTTATATTATTTACCGATATTTATTCAGTTCCATAAATTCACAAACTAACAACAAACAGCATAAAATAAGCATAAGAGGAAATTTCAATAAAAAGAAATCCGAAAATTTAAACAAAATAGAAAAACACAAATAAATTAAATAAAATAAGATTATAAAAAAGTAAATAAAACGAAATAAAATAAAGTAAAATAAAGTTGAGAAATATGCCGAAAGATATAAACAGAGGAAAAGAAAAAAGAAAAAATATTGTCACATTCATTCAACATTTTCTGAATTTACAATCGTTTATTAATTAATTAGATCTGACAAGTCATCGAAATACAGTAACTTTCTACCGTATATCATCTGTTTCTGAGATATTTATCTCGTTTCAAACTATCTTAGGAAAGATATATGGATAGGACACAAGTTTAATTCTCAACAAAAAAATAGAACATTAACAAATATGCAAATGTTAAAGAAACAATAAATTTATTGAAATGGATATACCATATGATTCAATAATCATTTTTTCAACAATCATTCAACATATGATTCAATAATCATTTAACAAGCAAAGTAAACATGAACAGAGATGAATTTTCAATTTAGCTGCTTTTGTGAACACTATTATCGCATAAATGTCTTGCACTGAAATTTTAGCCATAAGGAAGCAAAATTAGTATGGAATGAAATAAAGAACGATAGAGTAAACTAGCAAACTTATTTTAAAGTTAAAAAAAACACAAAGTTTAGTTCATCATATTTACATGTAAATAAACAAACGAACAATAAATGGCAGGCAGGAAGACAAACGAAAAATGCTCCATTTTAAAATAAAGTAATATAAAAAAAATAACAACAGAAAGGAAAATAGAAAAAAAAAGCAGTAAATCTTTGCAATTTTCTAATCATTGTAAAAGTTTAAATTGACGTTTTAAAAGATTTAATCATTGTAAATTGACATTGGGATAGATGTTTTCATGGCTAACCAGTCAAAATGATAAAATGAATGTAATTATGAGTCAGAATGACGTAATACAGGTATGGTGTATGCTTTATTGTATGCTTTATTTATTTGCTTTTGATGATTAGTTGTACTTGATTCCCTATCCTCTTACCATAATTCGTATGCATTTTCTATTATTCATTCTCTTCGAAATTTATTTTTCCGTTCTTTCTAACATTATGTAACTTGAAAATTTTCTCTGTTATTGTGCAATTCTTAAAAAATTGCTAGGAAATTTTATCGCGATATTATCTCAAACTATTACGAAAATATTATCCTTTGTTTGATGTTTGATAAAAAATTTATTAATTCCATTCGCGAATTTTAGTATTATTTTATCAATTGTTTTTTTTTTTTTTGAATTTCCTGAATCTTCCCAATTTTTGAATTTCCCAATTGGAATTGTTGAAATTTATCGAGATTGATTAATTTTTTAGTGTTTTGTAATGCTTATTTAACAAATAATTCTTCTTTTCTTTTCGACATCATTTGCTTTTGAAAGATTCGAACTTGGTTTTGATATTTTAAGACATTATGTAATTTTTGATATGGAAGAATTAAAAAAGAGTGAAGAAAGAGAGAAGTTGATTCCACGATTTATCTTTTACAATTTTAACATTTTCTTTTGCAGATATACATATGGGGATATATGATTGATCGAATGATCAATCGACTGATTAATTGGATGTGAACAAAATCGAAATTCATCAATAATAGAAGAAACAGAGAAGAAGGAATGAGCATGGAAAATTTGGATGTTATGACCGATGGTGAAGTATTAACGAGTAAGTTGTCGAACAGTGGCAGAGGTGATGCAACAGCTCCATCTGTTCTAGAATCTACTATCGAAAATCCCAGAAAATGGGTTAATATTATGGATAAGGATTTGGTATCAGAAGTGAATGCGAATGATGCATCTGTTTTTATTCGAAAGGAAACAAACGATCCAACAAGTGATGAAATTGCCACTGCTGCGAATAAACAACAAAATTCACTGGAAGAGGAAGTAAATGAGACTTTTTTTTTTTGCAAAATTTCACACATCCACTTCAATAATTGAGTTGAATATTTAAGAGAAGTAGAAAGAAAAAATAGCTTCAAGCTGAACTTTCCAGAGATGTTTTATTACGTTTTTTGTATATTTTACATGCAATTACCAACTCGTATTCAGATTCATTGCCTAATCTACTCTTTATAGTGAGTTTTATTCTATTCTGTAAGAAATCAATCAAGCTTGGTCTATGATTTCTGCTAAGTTTCATATTCTCAGTTAGGTTTACTTATTAATGTTCATTATTTTTTTGTAGACCCATTGATTCGGCTGAGTAGTAATATTTCAATTTTTTTGTTATGACTGAACACGTGATACTAGCGTTATCAATATATGATTGCTATAACCATCTAAAATAGTAGGATTTTTTTTTCTTTTTGAGATTGAGCAAAGTTGTATTAAATTTTCAAATTAGTAGACCTTGTCATTTTAGGTTATCAAAAGAGAAAGTAGTTTTTCTGAGGCAATGAATGAAGGGAATAAAATACCGGACACAATTTGTGAGGAACATGTCACGGTAACATCATGCGAAATGTGCCATAATTATGAACTGAATTTGACGAAAATGCAGGTGGGATTTTTATTAATTTTTCTTGCGCAAAATTGGTTTGCTTATCGCTGCCATTCGATTTCATTTCCCGACAGAAGATTAAAATTATGAAGAAGAAAATGCTGAAATATTTTCTTCATGTTTTGCTCTTGTTCGTTTTTATTAATCAGATTGACTAAGGTGTTTGTAAATGTTCAGGACGTTGAGCGAAATTTGAAAGAACAATTGTCTGCTGCACAACATCTGGTTAATCGTTACCAAAATGAATTGTCTGGAGAACGTTTATACAGGTTCTTTGTTAAACACTTCTATCTCATTTGTGTGAATAATTTTTTTATATAGTACAAAAAATGATTTTAGGAAGGAAATGGAAATGAAAACAACTACATTATGTGCAGACAATGAAAAAGAAGTGAATATAGCGAAAAATGAAAATGAAGAGTGTGCTAAGCACTTGGTTGCTGTTAATGGAAGGTTTAATTTTTTATAATGGTTTACGAATTTGTCAATTTTAATAAAAATTTTGTTTCAAGATTTGATGATCGTTATAATTCTAGGTGTGTAAAGTTGATACAAGAACAGCGAAATAATATTGGTCGCTTGAGGGAACTTTTAAGCATGATGAATAAAGATATGCACAATTTGAGCAATCGATATTTAGTACGATTTCACATTGAACATTTTATTGTTATTTTATATTACATGTCTTACATTGCACTTAGTTTCACCTTGTTAGTATTTCAAATTATTTTAATGATTTCCAGAAATTGCTTGGTGCTAATCGTAAATGCTCCACAGAAATGCGAGATCAAACGATAGAACTGCCTCAGGATGTTGATCAATTACAATTTTTGTGCCTCCAACTAAGAGAGGAACTAATTGAGACTCGCGCAGCCAAAGAACATGCTGTATATTTTTGATGTTTTCTTGTAAATACTGGAATAATTAAAATTGTCAGGGTCTAGTCACCGAATATTGGTTAGCTGATAGATTATTCTGAGAGATATAACGTATGAAATTTTTTGATGAATTGTTCATTAAGTCTTATTTTAAGTCTTATTGAAGTCTTATTTAGGTCGTTAAATCTTATTTTACTTGATTGCATAACTGAACGATATTTACATACACTCTAATCGAAAGAAGTTATAGAGGTGTATATTTTAATCATTATAAGTAATTGAACTGCTGATAATACGCTGATTACTATCAGGTCCTTGAATCAGTAATTTATCTGAAATGGAAAATTCTTTTTCATTGAAAATAACTCAAGTAATGATTTACTATTTGCACGCATTTTATATTTTTTATGTTCATGATTTAGCAACTCTCTAATGTAAAAAATATGTTTTCTGATATGATATTTCAGGAGGTGGTGTTGAGAGATGAGATAGCAACACTGGAAGCACAAAGGAAGGAGGATGAAATGGAGAAGAGAAGGATTGAGGATGCTTATACTGAACGAGTAAATGGAGTTAGTCAAGAACTGGGCTTTGCGCGGAGTCAGGTATTCCTTATTTACTTTAAGAAGACTGCAATGTTTCGGGAACATTTATTAATTTTGATTATATATTGTCTGTCTCTGATGTATTCAAGATCATGCTTGATTTACATTTTATGTGTTATAGTTAGATTCGATGAAAGATGCATCTTCAAAGGTAGAAGAAATGAACAAAAGGATGATTGAATACAGGGAAGTAATCGAAGATTTAGAAAAGCAGCTGCAATCAGTGCAAAAGGAACGTACTGACCTCGAAATGACTGTCGCTTTGTATAAGCAAAAGTGTGTTTTAAGAATTTCGGAATAATTTTTATTGATTATGTCTAATTTCTTGTTGCTTTTCTCATCGATAGTCTACTTTAGGTGCGCTGCTTTGCAACAGGAATTGGATACATCGGAAACCGTGCAAAAGGATTTTGTCAAACTTTCACAAAATCTGCAAATTGAACTTGAAAAAATTCGACAAGCTGAACAGGTATTTTGTTCATGAATCTTTGCTTTCCCTTTTTGGAAGTAAAAATGTTTACATTACAATAATGAAAATTAACTGCATAATATAGTAATTATAAATTAGCGTTATAAATAAGGCATTCATGTGAGATAATTAATGGTGTTAAAGGAAGTGCGGTGGCAGTTCGATGAAGATGTGCATGCGTGCAATCAGTGCCAATCAAATTTTTCTAAAAGCCGTATTAAGCTTCATTGCTATCATTGTGGCAAGATTTTCTGTCCAGTCTGTTTGTCAGCAACAATACCTAGTGGGCCACATCGAAGGCCAGCAAGAGTTTGTCAAGTGTGCCATACTCTTCTAAGCAGGTGATTGCGTTTTTTATTCCATACTTCAAGATTGTGAATTTCTGGACCATTCCTAGCATTGTGAGAACAATGTTTAAAGCTGCATTTTGTTAGTTTTTTGGGGCTGAATGACAGTGCGTTTTTTGAATTCCTGGATTTATATCTGTCGATTGCTGTGGAAGCATATGCGTTATAAAAGTATTAATTCTATTTTTATCCTCTTTGCTAATCCGGTTTAGAAGTTCATTTATTTTCCTCAGCTTAAAACGTGATTTATTGATGAGATCTGCAAATTAATCGAGAAAAAAACTGTTTTCAGGGATTCTGCGCCATTTTTCTCGCATAATTTGGAAGCTGTATAGTTATGGTTATCAGATCATTCCAGATATCCCTGTATCTCACAAACGCTATATTGTGCGATCGTTTTGACGAGGTAAAAAGATGTGATAATGTGTTTGCTTTATTTCATAATTTGTAATATAATTAATTTTCGTGTGAGCCAGGGCTAATTTTGGTAGGTACATGCAATTCTGTAAATAGTGAATTTTTGAATTTTTTTTACTAACATGTTTTTCTCCCAAATTTTAACGCTTTTTTGTCAATTTTTTTCCCGGTGAATGATTAAAGTTATTCCGATTATATCCGATTCACTCTGTGTCCAATTCTACGCACTTTGCGATAAACATCCTAATCCTTTCCGTATTCAAGTTTTATTAAATACTAGAAAGATCATTTTTTTTGAGTAAGTACCATTACTCATATGATTGCTACTTCATTTAATTGCAATATTGTGTCCTGAGTTATTTACCGCACTACAGTTTTAGAACTTTATTTTATTTAAAGTGCTGAATAGATTGGTTATTTAACATTCATGTTAAGGAGTAACTAATTTTGAATGTTTCGATAGTTGGATTTGAATGTGATTTTTTCAGTGTAAAGTGTGCCATGAATTTGTCTAGTTATCACTCAAATTTTATGACATATTATGCAAAGCATTCAAAGCTATTACTGTAACATTTCATCAATAAAAAGGAGTGTGAATTTTGATATTTAATATAGTGCTGTTGGTTTTTCTTTTTTTCTTTTTCAAATGTGGTCTTCATTTTTCGTTTCACTAGATTTAATTATTTTTTATTTTTTCTATTTTTCTCTTCTTGTGTGATGTACAGTTTGGTCGATAAAATCTGGATATGTGCATGTTTTAAAAACATTATAGATCATTCCATTATTTATAGTCGATGAAGAATTACAAAAACGATTATAATGAACAGAGACAAAATTTCGATATTTTGTATCTTTAATTATTTACCGTTTCTCCTAGGATTGGATCTGAGAAGAGAAGTGTTCTATTTCTGTTATATTCTGTGCTTGGCAAAATATAATACTGTTTATGATAACATGATCATATCACGATAGATTTAAAGGTCATATGAGGAATCTGATTAATTTTTCTAATTCAACCATTATATGTAGTTCCTATCTAAACGCCGATATCGCTTAGACTGACATTTTCTCGTGGTCAGGTTTAATTGTATATGCTCATAGTTAAACTGTTCCATGTGATAATATGTAAATAAAGATTAAAGCGATTAGTATATGTTGCTGACATTGTTCTTCGAAGTCGCTAATTTTGATGTATGAATATGCTTTAAAAAAATAAACTATTTCAGTATTGCATTTGCTTATTTAAATTCAACAAAAATGTCTTCATAAATTTGAATCATTATTAATTTTAGTGTTTCTGAGAAAAATATGAACATTTGATTTATTTCAACATTTCGCATTTCTAGAAGGAAAAAAGAAAAGAAATGATTGTGCATTTTTATTCAATCTCTAATTAGATGATTGTATGAAACATTGGCAGAATTAGGGTTATATTGCAATAAAATAATTTGTTGCAATTTTATTGCTTTATACTTTAAAAGGCTTATTGTGCATATTGAAGTTAAATTTCATTTTAATATTAATAAATTAGATGATGAAAATGTCTAGGATATGAGAATACTAGTTTGTATGAAAGAGAAAAACAAAAACCTGTAGTAGTTTTGTCATGCTTTCTATTAAAATTGTAAACAATCGATATGGTCTGAAGTTGCGATTAGTTGTTTTTTTTCTTTTTTTGTTGACCTTCAATTCCAATAACTTTTAACTCAGATGGTATACAAAACAATGCATTGTTTCATTTCTTTTCCATCTTTCTTACACCTCACTAATTTTGTTTATATGAATTTAATTCAGTTTTAGTATAATGCAAGGAATGGAAATTAAATATATGGGAGAATTTTAGTATACTGATAATTTTATACAAAATATTTCTATCCATACTGTGAATTACTTTCATTTTTATTTCCATCTTCTTTCAAATTATTCTCTTCATTTCCAGTGTTCACCATTTGTAGTTTTTCGTCATCAATTTCAATAACTTTACATCGTTCTCTATCGATATCCATTATTATTTCAATTCCTCCCTTCTTTTTTTAAATTATGTAAAACATGAGTTACATATATATGGAATTACTTATGCTTGAAATACTTTAAACTTTTACTAAATTCTTATTTTGCCAAGTAATTTATAGAATTATAATTAATCCAATGCTAATTTCAAAATTCTGTTTCAGAAGATTTCTTTCATATAATTTTTTTTTTTGTCTTAAGGTTACTATTATTTTACTTTTTATTTTTCATGTGTTAAATAAAAATTTCCCATTCATTCTTTTTTCATTCACAATAAAATCGAATCAGCTCATTTGGTTGAAATTTGTTTTTATTGCCTACAAAAATTTGAAAAAAAATCTATCAGCTAATTTTGATTGAAATTTGCTTTTTTTTTATTGTTTAATTTGATTTGATCGAAATTTGTTTTTATTTGTCCGAAATTTGTTTTTATTGCTTGAAAAAAAAAAAAATTGACACATGATTCCCAATAGTTTAAGTGCTTTTCTTCTTCTCTCGCTCTCTCTCTCTCTCTCTCTCTCTCTATCTATCTCTCTTTCTCGCTTTCTCTCTGTTCTCTTTTGTTAAGTATAAATTACAAAAATATATTGATTGTATATTGATTGAATGTTTTTTGAAATGTAGCTTGAATAAAATCATATCTAGGAAAAATAACCCCTTTTATTTAAGAAAATTTCATTCTAAAATGAACTTTCAAATCAATATTTCAATATGATCTCATGGATGTTAATGATTGCTTTATTCCATATTTAATTGTTGTAAGAAATTTTTCAGAAATGATGAAATTTGCTCTAATATTTGCAATTATTATTGTTATATCATTACCAATAACTGTTATGGCAAGAACGAGAAGTGTAGGAGTAAAAGGAATTGTTATTTGTGATGGAAAACCGGTAAATGATGGCGAGATTGAGTTGTATGGCGAAAGAAACGGTTTTTTTTCTCGATTTTTCTTTTCACCAAAATGATATTCGTTTGGAGTTAGCTTAAAAATACTTGTTGTATGATGATGTATTAAATTACTGCTTATTTGCTAAAATTTTTAATTTAAATTAATACAATACTAGAATTAATTTACGACTGTTTCCTTTTTTGGGAGATGGTAAAATCGGATAATTATAGTGAGTTGTTAGAGACAAATTATCGTGCGATATTATTCCTGAAATTTTAGGTAAGTCAAGAAGACATCGACATATGTTATTGTCAGTTAATCACAAATGAAATCGGCCATCTTTATATGGCTAGCTAATTTAAGCTTCTTTAAGATAGAAATAATATTATGAATATATTATGAACTTTTTGAGGTGGCACTTTTTTTTTCTCAGCTAAATTACTGTATTTTTGAGTATTAATTGTGATGAAGTGTA